AGGGGTTGGGAACTATGTGGTACAATGGAAGGAGCCAGAAAAAGCATAATTAAGTTCCCAGCCCTTTGACCTCGGCAAGTGATTGACCCTTATCTGTCAACCGAGTACAATAATTAGGGTGACCATATACCCTAGTTTTCCCACAGCCACCCGGGGAACTGTTAGTAGTGCCTCATTTCACTCAGGCCCACTGGGACGAGAAGTTACCAGCTCACCATAATATTAAGTCCTCGCAGGCTTGCGTGGTGGATGAGAGCCTGCGGAGGGCTTGCTGCAGGAAGGGTCTAGGGATATAATGGGATGACATTATGTGGCTGGTAGTCTCGAGACTTGGAGCATCTGTGATTTCAATTTCCAGACTCCAAGCCTTGTAGCTAGCTTTGGAATCACTGTCTGTCCTGTTTACTCCCAGAGTTGAGTCCCTGTGAGGATGTCTCTCACCCTCCATGGGAGAGGGAGGCCTCCACTCTGAGAGCAGGCCTTGTTTTTGGCCCATTACATTTCTTCTGCTGCGTCCTGGGCAGAAAAAGATTCCAGTTTTTAATGGTAAAAGCAGCTTCAAGAGGCAGTCACTCTCCAGGGCACAGCCACCAGCTCTAACCAGGAGCCCTGCCTCTCGGGTGCTTTCCTGTCAAGCTATTCACAGGGACTGGGCTCACACTGGCCAGCATCTCTGCAGATACCACTGTCCCGTTCCCCCAGCATATGAGCTTTAGGAGCCGAGAAAAAGAGTTCTCTGAGAACATATATAGGCACAGATTACCTGCCTCTGAACAACGAAGAAACATGGGTGGGGATACTTCAGTATGAAGACAACCTAAAATCTGGGGGAACTAGAAATGGATTCAAGGAACAGATGGATGAGTAGCTGACATATCCCCAACAGGCCACTGTAGGAAAATGAGGGCCACCAGGGTCCTTCCTTATCCCACACCTACCCTCTCATTGGAGCACACAGGCCTTGCCAGGAGGGAGCCCTGGGGAGGCCCCTGCTGGAGTCCACAGAGGCCAGGCTCTCACTGGCTCTGGGCAAACCCCACATCCCTCTGGGCCTGTCTTCCTATCTGCAAAATGAGGGCTTTGGACTCGGTGTGAGATTGCCTTCTGGAGCGGCAGGATGCCACAGGAGGTGCACTTAGTAGCCGAAGGCCTGAGAACCATGCCCAGTGAAGTCACAGTGGTCCTAGTTAAAATCTGTTTGCAGCTTAGGACTCCGTGGAATATTTTATTTTAGAAAATGGTTCTGCTGCTAAAAATGAGTTTGAAAACATTGGACCAGATTCTCCCTCTAAGGTTATATGAAATGCTGACATATTTCCTGTTATGACAGTAATTTGTTTTCCCACCTCTAAGCCAGGGTCAGTGGTCAAGATCCAGGCCAGAGAGGGCAGGTGGGAGGAAGAGGGCAGAAAGGAAGGGAGCAGGGAGCAGGGAGAGGGAAGGTGCTCTGGGAAGCGCCTCTCCCGTATCCCTCTGTGCCTCCACTACCCAAGGCCGCCTCTGCCTATACCACTGAGCTTCCACCTGCCTCCCCACTTTACTCCCAGTGCTTTGAGAACAACAGTGGTCCTGTGTGCGCAGCACCTTGTGCCCAGCAAGGGGGCTTATGAATGAGGCTAAGTGCCCCCACTCCGCCCACCCTGCCACCTACACTGTCGCAGCTCCTTCTTGAAGGCCTTGTGGTTCCCCAGCTCCTCCAGGAAGGCCTGGCCAGCTTTGCGGAGGCTCTCAGAACTCTTCTTGGTCAGGAACCAGCCGAAGTAGAGTGGCAGGAAGTCCTTCTCCAGCCCAGGTTTCAGCTTCTTCAGCTCATCAGCTGACAGCTGCCACTGGTTCTTCTCCTTAAGCAGGGTACAGTCCAGCCGCCACGACGTCTTGGGCTCCACCAGCACCACCTGGTACTGGTACTGGTCGGCCATTTCAAAGAGCTGCTCCAGCCGCTCCCGCTCATGGTTGGTGTCATCCAGCACAAGGACTCGGGTGTCCCGGCGGCAGTAGGCAGCCAGGTCCTCGTCCAGCCGCTTGTACTCCTCGGAAAAGGCTCCTCGAGCACCAGGGGTGATCTTGTAACTGTCGGCAGACACCAACTTGGTGCCGTCACGGTACCTGTCCAGGATGACCCGTGCCAGCGTGGACTTGCCACTCCCTGGCAGGCCGCGCAGGATGAAGAGTGTCTTGCACTCATGCAGTGCGGACACCGTCTCCTCATCCTGCAGGAAGGGAAACTGCAGCTCAGGCTTGTCCTTGGCCCCTGAGGATGACATTTTGCGGAAAAAGATCTTGGGCAGGAACGTGTGGCTCTTTCGCGAGAAGCCTCTATTCTGTGAGGGGGGAAGAGCAGATGTCAGCCAGGTCACTTGGGGCCACCTAGCCAGCTTTGCCCTCCTGTCTCTGTCTCTGGCCTTGTTCTAGCCAGGAACCCCTGCTCGGGGCTCCCTAGCCCTGAATTCCAAGCACGGCGCCTTCCAGAGCCGTGGAGTGGTGGACTGTCTCTCCTCCGGCCTTGCGTACCATCAGCATCTGGTTGTGGAGGATGGAGAGGGATGCCTGTCTGAGGTTCCTAAACTCTTACTTTCCTCTAGTTGGGGCTGTACCCGCAAGGATCACCCCACTGCTGCCACCTCTAAAGGGAAAATGTGCTGGAAGTGCCTGCATGGGGAGGGCCTGAAGCCTGTGGCTCTAGGAGTGGACCCTAACTTTATATTCTGGCACCCATTAAGGATGACCTCTTTGGAGGTGGGAGTCTCTATGTCTGGGCACAGCCACAACTGTCCTGCTCTGACTGCAGAGGGTTGGGCCGAGAACGGTCACCCAAAGACTGCCTCCCTTCCCCCAACAATGGCAGCAACAGATAATACTCTCTTGTCTGAGATGGGGGGACAATGGTCCCACAGAAGGGCTGGTGGGGGGCAGGGCAGGAGAGCGCTGGACAAAGGGGCTCATTGACTCGCCTGCCACCTCCTCCTCTGCCCTCGGCCCCCCACAGAGTCGTGGCCTTTGTGCCTGCCCCAGGACTGGGCGGCACAGGCCACCTGTGTTCAGGGTCTAGCTCTGCCCACACTTTGCTGTGTGTCAGCAGCACCTCTGTGAGCCACTTGTTTTCCTGCCTGCTAAAAGCCACAAGTGACAAGCGTTTACAGTAAACCGTTCTCTCCTCTACACTGGCTCCACCTCCCTCAGCACCCTGAGAGCTCAGCAGGCACAGCGTCTTCTCAGACCAGGCCCCGGAGCAGGCGAAGGCGAAGAATGCCCGCCCAGCACGGGCCGCGGGGAGTGGGGACCGGCCCCGGGCGCACTGTTCCCGGCCCACACGCCATCTGGGTCTGGCGGGGACAGCAGCTTCTGCAGCTCCGGAGACCCCTCCTCCTCCAGCGGCCCTCTCCATTGCTCCTCTTCCTGCGTCTCCCCTACCTCCAAGCTGCACCGCACCGCCAAGCGAGCCTGAGCTCAATTCCGGAAACGCGAGTCCTCATTTGCATGCCACTTCCTCCCGAAAATCCCCCAATCCCCCCTTGTCCGTTAGGGTGCTACCCCGAGCCCGGCCCGCCCCCTCCCCTCCCCTCCTGGCCTTCCCGCGCCCGCTCACCATGATGAGGAGGGGGCGCTGCCGTGGCCGCCTTCGCAGGCACCAGCTCTCCGGGGCCGCCCGCCTGCGCGGAGGGACACGGAGCCCAGCGGTGGCGCGACCCCGCCGGGCCGCCTTACATAGCCCGGGGGCGGAGCGCGCGCGGGGGCGGGGGAGGGCCGGGCCGGGTCCTCTCTGCGCAGGCGCGGCGAGCAGACACCGGGGTCGGCCGAGTCCCGGGCTGCCCGTGTGCTCACCTGTGCCCTGGGGGCCAGGCCGCTGGCGACTCGACTGGCCTCTTTTTTTCTCGTAGGCGTTGATGACCTCTTTAAAGAGGGGAGCAGGGCCCCTTCCCGGCCCAGCGCCGGAATCAGGATGAGGCAACGGAGGCAGGGTCCTGCGAGTGCAAAGTCAGATCCTTTTTTTTTTTCCTTTGGTGAGGAAAATTGTGGCTGAACTAACATCTGTGCCAAGCTTCCTCTATTTTGTATGTGGGACACCACGGCAGCATGGCTTGATGAGCGGTGTGTAGGTCCGCGCCAGGATCTGAACCCGCAAACCCAGGCCCAGCAGGGAAGCAGCCAGCGAACTTAACCACTAGGCCACTGGGAGGGCCCTCAGATCCTGTCTTTATTTAAAATTTTGATATTTTATTCATCATGGGTTTTTTGCATTAATTTTTTTTACAATGTTGCATTAAAATACTGTTTATCTTGCTTACTGAGTTTTTGGCGCCCCATGAAATGCTGCACCTGAAATACCTCCCTTGCCTCGGCTTAGTCCAGCCGGGTCCCAGCCTAAAGTCAGCCTCAGCCTCGACTTTTCCAGGAACTGTGGAGAAGGAACCAGGATGGCAATGGCCAAAGGGACAGATGAAGAATGTAGTGAAATCCTAACTCATCCTCTGAGGCAGCCGCTCAGCCGACACCTCTGCGAAGGCACTGGAAGCTCGGGTGGATTTTCGAGAGCTTCCTGTGGACCAGGTGCCGTGCTGAGCCCTCATATGGTCCTCGCAGCAGCCCTGAGGCAGGTGCGCATTCTAGAGGAGGAAACCAGCGTGGGGAGCCTGACTGACGGGACTGGACTGCCTGGAGGTGGCGCAGCTCCCTCTCCCAGGCCACTCCCTGTTTCCGGGCAGGAAACTTCTTTCTTCCTGTGGGCTGCTGGAGCACGATGCCCTATCCAAGCCAGCTGCCACTTCATTCTGCATTCAGGGCTTAGGGGTTTACAAGAAGCTCTCCCTCTCTGTGTGATGGCTGAGGTGGTCCCATCATTATTTCTTCCCTAAAGCCTGGTTTGGGGGTCTCAGTGTTTCTCCCTAGCCAGGGTGAGGTCAGAGTTCTGCCTGGAAGGGGTGCGCGGTGCCAGGTCCTTCGTCCTCTAAGGCTCTTCTGGAGATGGGTGGGGTGAGCAGGCAGAATGACAGACCCAGGGGTTGTGAGAGTGAAATGGATCTATTTAGAGGGAGAACAGTGACAGAAAGGGGCAGAGGTGACATGTGGGGCCTGGGCCACATTTTCTCCTATGAAAGACAAATCTCAGCTTGAGAGTCCGGTCTCCTGCCATCCCCACGGTGCCTGCAAACGCCAGCCTGGTGAGGCTAGCGCCTGCTAGCGATGGCTTCATTCGTCTTCCTTTTCGTCTTTTTCCGTTGTTTCACCATTTTCTGTTTTTTTCATTTCTCCAGTTTCTCCCAATGCTGTTTTCCCCAATTCTTCTAACTCTCTCCTGCCGGCTTCTGAAAGTCTCCTCTCCGGTCCCTCCCATTCCCTTCTGCTTAATTCTTCTGAGGGTTTCTCATCCAGCTCTAAAGGCCTCCTGTAAATTTCTCTTGATTCCCTTCTGCTCAGTTCTGGTAGTTTCCTGCCTGCTTCTCCTGACCTTAGGCCTAGTTCTCCGGACAGCCTCTTGGCAATGTCTGCTGAATCTCTCCCCATCGCTCCCAGTTCCATTTGCCTAAAGGAGCTGCCTTTTTCTACTTCTCTCCACCTGTTTTCTTCTTGTCCATTCACTGTGATCCTCAGGGCTTCCTTAGACGACTCGTATTCTGTCTCTCTGTCATTCTCAACTGGCTCTCTTTCCCACTGCTTCATCACCTTCTCAGGTTCGTCTCTCCCTCTTCTCGTCGTTTCCTTCTCCCTTGCCATCACTGGTGTGTCATCCAGCTCAGCAGCCTCTTCTGAAAAACAAGAGAAAGGAGAGAAGAAAGGTAAAAGTCTGTTCACCTCTGGGCCGGGGTGAAGCCCAGCCTGGGGGCCTGTGCTTCTGAGAGACAGCACAGCTTTTCAGAAAGAAAGGAAGGAAATCATCATTTACTGAGCAGCAGCCCTGTTCCAGCCATCGTCTGAGCTGCACAGATCACACTACTCGGCCATCATGAGATTGCACAGTGTCACTGATTCGAGTTTGCAGGCAAGGGACCTGAGATTGATAAAAGAAAAATCATACACAATGGTCACACTGCAAATAAACAAACAGCAGAGCCAAATGTGAACCCTGGACAGTCTGCCCCAGAGCACATTCTCTTTCCCTATAAGAAACAGCAGAGGTGCTGGGAGAGGACAGAAGAGTTCATTTCTCCAGCATCCTCGTTCTGCATTTCTCTTTGTCCCTGCGAAGCAGATTCATCATTTGTTGGGACGCTCCCTGTAAAAATATGAGCAGACTGCTAGCAGGAAGTTCAGCTGGAGAGCTATTCTACAGCCAAAGGGATCCTTGCTCCTTGCTTTAACCAGCTACAGAGAAAAGGCACCAGTCCTCGCCTCACTCTCCCCCACATTCTCTTCCTGGAGGCCCCCGGTCTCTAAGATGCCCACAGGGGCTCTCGGTTCACAGCAGGGAAAAGGCTGCTATTTGGCGGTGAAGACACATACAATGCTGCCGCCTGCCGTTCCAGGGGGGAAGTGCCTGCCACCGGCCACCGGGCCTGCTTGATGAGTCTTTAGGACTTTCACCTTCCTCAGCACAGCGCCTGCCGAGGGGAGGGGAGGCTGCTGGGAGCACCCGCTGCTTCCCTCCTGGCTCTCTTCATGTCTATTGCTCCCTGGCTGCTGAGAGCAGCTCCAAGGCCACGTGGGGGCAGAGGCAGATCCCTCTCTGAGGGGACCCAGCCACCACATGGCAGGCGGTGGATAATAAAGAGATGTCATGTGGCTGCTCAGGTGCCCAGAAACCCCACGTCCAGATTCCCGCTGCCATGCTTGGGTCAGGGAGGGCTTCAGCCTTGATGGCTGGAGGGGACTCTGTCCTCCCAGGTGCATGGAGCCCTGGCCCTGGCGCCTCTTCGCTGTGACTTGGCTGGAGTGAGGGCAGCACAGTGGGCTGGACAGAAACGGTGTAGAACCACGGTAAAAGCCCGGGTTCTAGAGCCGGCTGCCCGAGACTAAAACCATGCTGCCTCTGTGTCCTCATCCGTAAAATCAAGCCAATAATACTGACTTCATAGAGTTCTTGGAGGGTTCAGAGGATCAGTCCATACAAGGCCCTTGGAAGAGCGCCTGGTGCACAGGAAGCACTGCGTGGAGAGCAGCTTCTCACATGGCCCTGGCCCCTTCCTCTTCCCTCACTCCCTCCACAGCGGAGCCAGTCAAAGAGCCGGGGCTGGGGCGTCAAAGGCCTCCTTAGTTCCGGGAGGCCTTGGAAGAGACTGTGATAAGGCCAGCAGGAGCACAGCTGTGACACAGAGCCGCCTTCCCCTTAGCTCATCCTCGTGTCCCCAGGCCCGGCCCCTGCCCTACCCACTGCTGGACCAAGGGCCATTCCATGCAGTGCGGGCGAGCATGGCCCTAAGTCACACTGCTCTGTGACCTGCGCAGATCACTCAACCCCACTCAGCCTCCACTGCCCCAAAACCAGTCCCCACATCCTAGGGCGTGAGGACCGAGGGATATCCTTCTGTCATGCTTACCCTGTGTCTGGCACGCAGTCCGAGCCCCCAGAGGGTAAGTTACTGTCACTCTGCCTCTGTCGGCTCCTGCTCTTCATGCAGGAAATGCTGCCCCCTCCCCGTCGCACCTGGAGAACCATCTTTTGGAGCCTGGAGCAGATGATTCTTCCTCTTTGAGCCTTCCCCGTTTCCCCCCGGGCAATCAGAGCCCCCTCGTTCGGCTCCCCCGCTGAGCAGGGTACCCAGCTGCTGACAACTCAAATTGTCTGGCTTTGCCACTGGGCCTGGGGCTCCTCCAGGGCAGGGGCCGGGCCTCTGTCTCCCCTACATCGCATACCTTCCTGGCATGTGACAAATGCTCAACAAATATTTGATGAATTAACAGAAGTACAGGAGGGGGCTCCCAGGCAGGCCGCATGGGTTCCGACCCCAGCCAGAGCAGGCTAGAAGTCTCCCTCTCCTGCCCCAGGGATGGGCTGGGGCTGCTGGGGGCTCTGAAATCAGAAAGCTCGGTGGGCAGTGCCAAGCCCGCGACTGGAGCAGCTGCAGGAAAGCGTGGCTGGAAGTAACAGGAGAGAAAGCAGAGGGAGAATGCTGAAGCTGCCGTCTTTGGGGCTCCAGGAACTCACCTTTCTCTTTCTTATCTTTGAGCATCTCTTTATAGTTGGTTTTCTTCAGCTCTTCAATGATGCCCTTGTTGGCATCATCCAAGGCCTGCAGGTAGAAGAGGAGTGGTGACCTCTCTTAACCCTATGTAGCACCTACACTTCTCCCTTCCCCATGCAAACCCCAGCCCCAGAAGGCAGACTCTGTACTAACCCCGCCACCCTGTTTTCTCCCAGCTCCTCTGGAGGCTCCTGTCCTGAGGTTAACTGATACTTATGGACCTGGAATTACCCACAGTAAGAGATATAGAAACAGGACTGCGGTAACGCAGACTTCACTTCCCTTGGGCTCAGGTGTGTAATGGGAGTTGTGTCTGCGTGCTAATTTCGACATTTTTACCTAAAGCTTCTTTTGCTTCAGCCAATGTAAAGAGATAGTTCAAGGCCCTAAGCAGCAGCAAGGCAGCAAGTCATGGACGGGGCTCAGAAACACACTGCAGGGTGAGGCTGCGGGGGCCGGCCGCCTTCGGAGGGGCTTCCGGGGCTCTGGGGGACCCCTGGGGGCAGGTTCTGCCTTCTTCCTTGCTGTCCCGAAGCTTGCCCAGGGCAGAGCACCGGTAGGCACTCGAGAGACGCCTGCCAAACGACCACAGGGCCTGGAGCAGTGCTGGTCTGCCCCCTGGTACACTTCCTGCCTCGAGACACCAATCTAGGGGGTTAAGTGTCAGGGACCTGGTCCCAGGAGGAGTTGCTTAGGGCCCTGGGCTACTTGCCCAACAGGCACTTCTCTCCACCTCTCAACCTTCCCAAACCCTGCCCAGCCTTCAAGGTGACCTCCAACCTTCCTTGATGGGAAGCACCCAGCCGCGCCTCCCCGCTGGGGCTCTCTCCCTCTGAATCCCCTGGTCCCTATGGCACTGGTCGTGAACATGGGGTTTTTGTTTTAACCTTCCTGCTGACTCTAAGCTTCCTGAGGGCCAGGACCACGTCGTCACCTTTGGGCTGGGCAGCCCAGGCCAAGCGGTGGTCAGCAAATATTTACTGAACTGAATTGCCATGCCATCCTCTCCACATATTTGCAGGGCGACCATGTGGAAGAGGATTCAATGGGAGAGACAGGCATGAGGACCGAGGAGCGCAGGCAGGGCTTCCACGAGGCAGACACCGTGAGCTTCCCCTGGACGTCAGACTTAGGGGCAGGGTTCACACTCGGGAGGCTGACCCCCTCGACAGAGGAAGATCCTCAGTGGGGGATGGGGGAAGGCAGGGCAGAACCCGCCACATGGTGGGGTCTCTTGGGAGCGATGTGTGCATCATGACATGCTCTCTGCCTCCTGAAGCTTACGGTCGAGGCCAGCACCGGTCAACAGAAGTTTCTGCGGTGATAGGAGTCCTCCAGATCTGCACTGGGTGGCACTCATAAGCCACGTGCGGCTATCGACACTTGAAATGTGACTAGTGTGACTGAGAAGCTGAATTTTAAATTTTGTTTACTTTTAATTCATTTTAATCTACATAGCTGCCTGTGGCTGGCAGCCGCCTCACTGAGAAGTGCGAGGGAGCGCAGGCACACTGTATTTCACATTGTCTCCTGAAGGAGGCAGCATTTTTCAAATGACAAATCCTAAAATCAGTTGAGAAGGTCTCAACTCGCATTGAGTAAAAGAAAGGAAGATGAAAAATAAAACAGGATACAATAGGAAATATCAGCTTACTTAGTAAAGGTAAGCATGTTTGTAAAACTTTTGTTTCTATTTTGCGTTTGAAATAAAAACATGTGTATGGGGTTGCTCTATAAACTGACCGCAGTAGCAAGCATTTGAAAGCCACCGCCGTCCACAGGGCAGGTGGGTAATAAAGATGTGTGGAATGGCCAACTGAGAAGGCTGAGGGGCTGAGGGCCCAGCCGCCCTGCTCCCCACAGCCGGGGCCCAGCGGGGTGGGGAGGCTCACGCTGATGATGGCCTGCTGTGCCTCGTTGTTATGGACGAGCTTCGCTCTCTCCAGGGCCTTCTCAAAGTTGTTCACGGCCGACTCGAAGTCTCTCAGCTTCACTGGAGAGCAGGGGGAGGCACGGCACAGGCAGATTGTGACATTAGATGCTGTACAGTACAATGCAGGGGGCTTCAAGGTGCTGGGGGCCCTTGGGAACCCCTGGCCTGCTCAGCCACTCCCAGGGTCAGTCACAAGCCTGTGCAAGCTGGAGTAAGCCCAGGCCTCAGGCAGCATCCCTGAGCTGCCCAGCGCCACCCTTTCCAGCACATTCCTGGGCCATCTCGCCACAAAGGACCAGAACCTGGCAACCTGAGCCTTGGATCTCAGGCCATTCAACCGGGTCAGCAAGGGAAAAGGGTCTGGGGCAGGGACTTGTGCACACATCATGTGTCTCCAGGGCAGGGGGACAACTCCATCTTGCCCCATCTTTAGATTGTTCCAAAAGAGAAAATTCATATTTTTAAAATGTTCAAATTTTTTTCCTTTTTTTTTTTTGCTTGAGGAAAAAAGCTTTGGCAGCCCAGGTTTGTGGTTTCAGATCCCAGTCACAGATCTACATCACTCGTCAGCCATGCTGTGGCAGCAACCCACATACAAAATAGAGGAAGACTGGCATAGATCTTAGCTCAGAGCTAATCTTCCTCAGCAAAAAAAGAGACTGATTGGGGCCAGCCCAGTGGTATAATGGTTAAGTTCATATGCTCCACTTCAGTGGCCCAGGGTTCACAGGTTCAGAGCCTGGGCATGGACCTACACATTGTTCATCAAGCCATGCTGTGGTGGCATCACACATACAAAATAGAGGAAGATTGGCACAGATCTTCCTCAAGTGAAAAGAGGAAGACTGGCAACAGATGTTAGCTCAGGCCCAATCTTCCTCACCAAAAGGAAAGAAAAGAAGCAGATTGGCAACAGATATTAGCTCAGGGCTAAACTTCACACATCACTACTTTGTCCTATAACTAAGTACAAGATCCACTCCCCACCAAGCTTTGGGATCCGTGGAGAAAGGAGGGCCTTGTATCTGTAAGCCAAACTGCAAAAGGCTATTATTGGAAAACCAATTCAAATAATTCTGAAAGTACGTGGAATCACAGTAAATGAGGTCAAATATACCTTTTCTTCAAATACACATTTGAAAAGGGGAGTCGCGGTATTTACGCAGAGACCACGGTGAACGAACATCAGTGTCATTCTGACACGCAGGTCTATGCAGGAGTCATAACACTTACTCAAGGGAGTAAAACATTAAAGACTGTTCCTCTCGTTTTTAACTGAGTACATAACCCAAAGTTATCTTGAGTCTAGGAGCTGTTTTCCTCTACTTTTCCCTCCTTTGTGCATCCCCAAATCTACACATTTATACCTACATTTTTGTTGAGCCACAAATAGGCTTTTGCAAGGACTGTACTTGTTTCTCATCGCTGTTAGAGACACTGATGGGAAGTTGATGAGAGCGCAGGAGCGGAGAAATTAATACATATCGAGCGCTCACTATATGCCAGTTCCTGTTCTAAGTGCTTAAGCACTCAAGTATTACCTTAGTTCTTCACACCAACCCTCTAGCTAAGTACTATAATTATCTCTGCTTATAGAGGATGAGACAGGCACAGATTGGCACCTGCCCAGGGTCCCTAAGCCAGGATGGCGCAGAGCACAAGCTCTGCCAGCTAGGCTGTTTGGCCTCGCCAGCCCAGTGGCTCCCAGGCTACCACATTTGATCTTTTCAACCCCAGAGTAGGGAAACTAAGACTGACAGGGAATGGCCTGGTTCTCTAGGGGCCCTCAGGGCCTAAAAAGTCCTCAAGAGAGGCCTAGGACAACACCAACCCTGAGGGTGCAGCCTGTCTCACCTCCAGCTTATCCGGTGCCCTCCCTAGAACAGGAAAGCGGTCCAAGGAAGGCCTCAGGGATCAGGGCTCCCCCCAGCTTAGTTTTCAGTGGTTTTCTCCACGCTCTTAGGAAAGAAGCTATGATTTGTAATGGGGCCCACGAGGCCGAGGCCCTGCAGATCCGGCCCCTCTTCAACCTCCGCCCTCCAGACCTCCCTGGCCCCAGGAGCCCAGCCGACCCTGGTCTCCTTCAGCTTCTTAAATAAGCCGAACTCCTGCCCGGCCTCCTAAACGCTGTTCCTTTGGCTGCAAGGCTCCGTCCTCAGAGCTTGGAACAGCTGGCCCCTTCTCATCCCTAAAGTTTCTGCTTAAAAGTTACTTCCTCAGACGTGAGGGCAGGAAATATTTATCAGTTTTGCTCTCTAATTACAACCAACTTGGTGCCTAGAAGGTCCCAAGTAAGTATTTGTAGTGCAAATGAATGAATGAAGGATTATGCCCGATTATAGCGCCTGTCACACTTCCTCCTCTCTGGGGTCCGCTGTGCACCCGGGGTGGGGGCAGCTCAGTGCGGGGTTTAAGAGCCGGAGTGCAGGAGTCAGGCAAAGTGGGTTCTAGTCCCAGCTCCATCATTTACCAGCCTTCTTTTTCAACTTTGTATTATTTAACTTTGTATTATGAAATATTTAAAATATACACAAAAGAAGAAGGAATAACATAATGAACTCTCATCACCCAGTTTCAATAATTATCAAAATATCACCAACCTTGCTTCATCTCTTCCTCCTTTTCCCCGGCCCCCTGCTGTTTTTTACAACTTTATTAAGATGCAATTTACATATTATAAAATGCACCCATTTGTAAGTATACAGCTCAGCGATTTTTAGTAAATTTATAGAGTTGTGATCACCACAACCCAGTTTTAGAACACTTTAGAACATTTCCATCACTCTAAAAAGTCCTCTCATATGCCCTGGGGCAATCTGCTGAAGCACTTGGTGCCTCAGTTTCCCCATCGACACAAGAGGACAACAGTGCCTCCCTCACTGGCTTGTGCAGTGATGAAATGCAAGGGCACATGTGTAAAGAGTACCATGGCAAGAGGAAGTGGGGCCGCTTGATGATCACACAATGCCAGTCTGTCTGCAGCTGAGCTCCTCAGGGCAGGGGTGCCCAAGCCCTAACTGGCTCAGCTTAAAGTAGGAACTTGCCTCGTGTGGCTCAAAATGGAGGGGTTTATCCCCACTCTCAGACTCAGAGCTAATCTGAGCAGGGACACACTGGGATGGTAAGTCCGGCCCACAGGAGGGCCAGCCCCAGTGTGGCAGCTGGGCCCGAGGGTTGGGGAAGGCAAGGTGATCCTCTCTGAGCTCATACCTTGTGCCTGCGCCACCAGAACACTGGCATTCAGCTGCCACTCGATGTCCCCTTCTTCCTCGGCACACTGCTGGGACTTCTCGCCGTAATTCTGGGCCTGCCAGGGCTGGTCCAGCTCCAAGTAGCAGCGGCCAATCTCGTGGAAGAGCCAGGTCTTCTCGAGGGTGGTTTTTGCCAGAGGGATCTTCTCCTCCCACCTGGGGACACGATGAACCAGGGTCAGCTTCATCACCTCAAACCCTGCACTTGGCCACAGGAGACCAAGGCTTCCTACTGGGTGGTTGAACACAAATTGTTTTCTAAGGGCCAGCTCAGTGGCATAGAGGTTAAGTTTGCGCACTCCACTTCAGTGGCCCAGGGTTCACAGTTCGCATCCCAGGTGCAGACCTACACACCTACACTCATCAAGCCATGCTGTGGCAGCATCCCACATACAAAAACAGAGGAAGGTTGGCACAGATGTTAGCTCAGGGCCAATCTTCCTCATCAAAAAAAAAGGTTCTTCAACTACCAGTTCTTTTAGATACAGGGGTGGAGCTAATAAGCATTAATATATTTTAAAATTACCAAAGCTGGGGGGCCAGCCCCGTGGCCGAGTGGTTGAGTTCGCACACTCTGCTTCAGTGGCCCGGGGTTTTGTCAATTCGAATCCTGGGCGCAGACATGGTACCACTCATCAAGCCATGCTGAGGTGGCATCCCACATGCCACAACTAGAAGGACCCACAACTAAAAAATACACAACTATGTACCAGGGGGCTTTGGGGAGAAAAAGGAAAAATAAAATCTTTAAAAAAAAGAACTACCAAAGCTATTTTGGTACATCTGTTGGATCAAATTTGATACAACAGTTGAAAATACTGTTGACAAAATAGCATTTGAAATAACATAAAAACAATGCTTAAAAACACTATTAAGTACATATAAGAGAAAATCAACAAAAAAGACTGGAACAAAAGAACAAAATATCAATATAAGAAAGAGTAGGATGGGTGATGCAACTGAATAATTTTTCTTCTACTTTTCTGTATTTTCCAAATTAATATTTTAACAATAAGCACACACTTACTATAAAATGTTTTACTATAAAAAGATACTAAGGGTGGGTGAACTCTCATACTCCTCTGTCTTTTAGACACCAGGGGCCATTCTGGAAACCAAACTGCCCGTAGCAGAAGGCCACTGGTGAGCAAGTCTATTTCAATCGAGCGATGGGGGCCTGAAGGATGAGTCCCCTCCGCGCTAAGCGAGTGGCCCAAGGAGCCGGCTCTCCCAGTGCAGGCCGGTCTTGAGGTCAGGCCCTCGCCCCAGTCTCCCTGGGGCTGAGTCACTCCACTGGAGCAATCACCAGCCCCAGAGCTAGACACCAAGAGCCCAGTAGCTGAGCCATCTGGCGAGCTCAGACTCTGTTCCCAGTGACCCTGCGTGACCTTACAGAGTCACAGAACAGCCTCAGGAGAGGTCCCAGGGTCAATCGGTCTACTAGTTCCTGAACTTGCCCAAAGGTAAGGATTACCTGGGGCGCTTGTTAAAAACAGATTCCTGAGCTCCAACGCAAAGCTGTAGAATCAGAATTCCCAGGGGAGAGTAATTCACAGCCCTTCTGGGTGATTCTTATCAATGGGAAATTTTGAGAAAATGCTGATACTATTCTGTTAACTAATTTAACTAATGAGCCCCAGAGTTTACAAACTGGCTTGCTCATGGTCGCCTAGCAGAGCCAGGAGCCAAACTCAGGTCTTCTGGTGCCTCTTTGCCTGGCATCCTGGCCCCAGGCAGGGAGTCCAATGTGAGGGTGGGACATGCTGGCCCCAGTGTGGGAGAGGGGCAGTCCTTGGTCACTCACGTGTCAATGGCTTGCTGGAATTTCCCAACTCTGGCAAAAACCCTGCCAATGTTGTCGAGGGCTCTCGACTTGGCATCAGGAAGGTCACTGTGGGGAAGAAGCAAGAAGAGTGTTCACTAGACACCGGCTTTTGTAGGCACTGTGCAGAAGGAAAAGAAGCCAGAGCAAAGGGCCTGGCCTCAGGGACTCAGGGTCCAGTGGAGGGACAGTGCCCAGGCCGGCAAGGCTGTGGCACTCAGGCTGTCTCGTGCCCTGTGTTTTTATCGGGACCTTTCTGGAGGGCAATCAGTCACCAGCTCACAAAGATGTCCCCTTGATCCAGCAATTCCTCTTCTAGGAACTTACTCAAGAAGATAATGTGACAAGAACACTCATTAAAGCATGGTTTGTAACAATAAACACTGGAAACAATCTACACCTCATCAGTGCCCTGGCATGGCAATTTTTGTGTATGAGAAAAAGTCTGATACGCTAAGTTTAAAAGTCAGATTACAGGTGCATATACTATGTGTATTGTCCTATTTGTGTTAAAATAAATATGCACGATGCTGTGCTCCTGGCTTTGACAATGGAGGAAGGGGCCACGAGCTAAGGAGCATGACAAATGCAGCCCTTAGAAGCTGAAAAGGGCAGGAAGAGAGCTCCCCTCGAGCCTCGGGAGGGGGCGCAGGCCCCCAACACCTTGACTGTGGCCCCAGGGAGACGCTGCGGACTTCCCTCCTCCAGACCGTGAGAGAATAAAGGTATGTTGTTTTAGGCCACCAAAAACTCAGTAAATAAACTAAAAGTGGGCATTTTTAAAAGAAGTAGAGAGAATTAACTATTATCGATAATTACCCAGGGGAAATGACAGTATGAGGGAAACTTGTATTTTATCCATATTATTTAAATTGTTTGCAGTATTCACGTGTCATCAGAAAAAAGATTAAGATATTTCCATAAAGAAAAAGATAATTGCTCCTCCTATGTCGGTTCTTTACCATTACCATATGAACATTCTGATCTCTCTGGTAAAAAATACCTCCTTCCCAGCAAATAAATCAAGAAAACCCTCCCCCCCATCCCAGACCTCCGCCACCAGCATCTCCTCTCACTCCCTCCTCCCAGGCAAGCGTCTCCCGCCTCCTGGCCCCCCAGCCCCGGCAGCCCAGCAGGGCTCCACTTCTTCCGCGAAGCTCTCCTCCTCTCATTCCTGTCCCCCCCGCCCCCGCCGCGGCCACGCCCACAGGGGTGGAGTGACATAACCCCCTATGCTGCTGAAGACCTTCCCATGAAGCCACTTAAAGAATGGGACCCTTTCCGAGACACATTCTTTAAAAAAACACAGAAACAAGTTACTTTTGTTTTAGAAATCCTGTAAGTTCTGCTCTCAGCACCACACAGTTCTGAATCGAGCAGGACACTGCAGTACTCGTGTGGAAGCAAACCTCGTCGGCCCCCAGGACCTTCAGGCGGAGCTCCTTCCTCCTCCCCATGGCACCCGGTCCTCCCACTCCCACAGATCCTGGCCCCGGCCCTGCCGCGCTACCTGCAGTTCCCCAAATCCTCCGTCCCTGTCCCGTCCCTCTGCCTAGGGTGCCCTTCCCCCACCCCGCACCCGCCCATCCTCTCCGAGGCCGCCTCAGCCCCCGGCAATGCTCGCCCTGCCTCTCTCCTTGGACCGTCGGCCATCCCTTGCTCCTGCTCCCAGCCCCTCTGGGGTTGGCCTCCCCTTCTAGAGCGGCTGCTCTGCTGTGGTGTGATGAATGAAGGAGTAAGTTGTAATAAGTTAATTCATTCATAACAAAATAGGTAACAACAATAAGAAGGAACAACCATAATAGTAATGAGAAAGCACATAGTCAGATTATCCACAGAGAATTCCAAGAAATGAAGGCTGGGGTCACGGAAGAAGCTGCTTAAACCAGTTGGGATTTGAGCTGCTCCTTGAAGATGGCAGGCTGGCGGGGCAGCCAGGGAGGGGTGGGGCTGGTTAGAAGGAGGAAGCACAGCACCAGGGAGCACACCCAACTCACAAGGAACTAACTGAGGGCACACCTCTGCTTCCTTATGCAGCCACTTCGCACACATTGATCACACGCCCATTATGTGGCAGGTGCTGGGAAGAAAAAGGGAATAGAAAATAGTTCCTTCCCAAGTGTGAAGTCTGAAGGCAGACAGGGCAGGGGTGGCGCGCGAGGGAGCAGAGGCGGCAGGGAGACACTTAGTACTTCAATTTTGAATGATGGGTAGGAGGGGGGTTCATGAAAAAAGTGCTAGTGAAAGAGAAAGCAGTCCCTTTAGGGACTAACAGGAGCCACAGGGTGCTGGCCGGGGCACAGGATGCTTAGGGGCCCGGGGAGAGCCAGGTCAACAGGGGCCTGGAGAAGTCAGGTCAGGAAGGGTGCTGGAACTTTATCCCAACCACCGGATTTGTTTTGCACAGAAGGGCCAGCTGGGCTATGGGAAACCCAGGTCAGAGGAAATAGGCAAGAAGTGAGGAAGGCCCGGCCTGAGCTGTGGGAGGGAAACAGAGAAGGGAAGTCACTCAGGAGACAGGAAGGAGGAGGCATAGACAGGACACGGGTGCGCCGGCCTGCGCACTGAGGGGTGGCAGGTGTCTGGGAAGCTGCCCAGGCTTCTTCTTGGGGATGGGTGGCCAACAATGCCATCCTCATGGAGAGGGAACGCTGGAGCAAGCGGCTTGGGAGGAAGATAAGGGATTCCACTCTGGACATGTTAAATTTGGGGTTCCTGTGGGACATCCAAGTAGAAATGCCTTGGAATCAGGTGGATACGCAGGAGTGGTACGAAGTAAGGATTTTCACATTTTTAAGGCCTGGGCCATGGCTGGATTCAAAGTACTGGAGACACATATTTTATTTAATCCTCTTAATCCCTGTGAGTCAGTATCAGTGTGCCTTCGTCAGAGGTAAGGACACTGAGAAGGTGAGCAACTCAATCAAATCCACACAGCTTCCGAGGACAGAGCCAGGAACCCAAGACAGCTCTGTCTCCACAGCTGGCGGTGGCTTATTTGTTTCTCCTGCTGTGTGGCCAGCATGTGACATTCCTGCTCAGCACGGGGCAGGCGGGTGAGAAATGAACCGGGAATGGATGGCATGTGGGCTCGGATGAGTGAGGAGAAGAGGGCAGGAGGCAAGAGTGTTCGCGAAATACAGTTTGACCCAAATGAAGGACTGACAGCCTTCAGGAGACGCACGCAGAAGGGGGTTGTGAGGACCTTGAGTGCCAAGCAAAGGCATTTGGTTTTAACATGCAGGCAATGAGGGGCCAAGCCCTGTTTGTCAGTATGGGAAGGAGAGGGGGTGGATGAAAAGCAGCGTGTCTCTGGAGGTGAGGAGGGAGCAGGTGGAGGCAGGGAGAGCTGGGGGCCAACCTGTGAGTGGAAACGGGATGATAGGAGACGAGAGGCTCAGAACTGTGGGGTGAATGGAAACTGGGCAGAAGAAAGTCACAAATGACTCCCAAGGTTAGAACCAGGGTTCCCAGAAAGCGATGGTACCTCTGAGAGGGGGCCCTCAAGTCTCGGGAAGAGCTGGTTCCTGCGAGAGTTGAAATGACTGTTACTGTGGATACCTGACACTTTCCTGAGGTCTTTCCAGGTACCTGCACATGCCATGCTCCCTTTGCCCTATCAGCTCAGGGCTATTGTTATGCCCATTTGACAGAGGACACACTGAGGCTGAGAGGCTAAGGGCCTTGCCTGAGGTCCCACAGCTAGGAGGAACAATTCCGAAGCCCAGGGAGGCCCGACTCCAGAGCCCATGCTCTTGGTCAGCACCGTGGTTTCCAAGGCCCTGCATGACCCGACCCCTACCCACGTGGTCCAGCCTCCTCTTGGCCACTCTTCCTCTGGCAATACTCTGTGCTCTCCAGCCTTAAGCTCCCTCCTGCCTGCCTCAGGGCCTTCCCACAGGCCAAGTGTGTTCCCCAACACCCAGTCAAGTCTGCCTGGAATATACTTCTCATAGCACTGGGCTCTGTACTTTTTCTTCTTGACACTTACCACAATTGCGGTTTATTAGCTATGTCACTTTTTATTTGACATCTGCAGGAAAATGACCCTGGCGTCTGGTCACTATTGTGTTCCCAATGCTAGCCGCATCTGGCATGTCTGGGGTTGATGACTGCTTGTTGAGATGATGTAAGAATAAAAATATCCCTAAGAGCCCAACCATTGGCAGCTTTTGGGAGTTTGAGGCCACTGCCTTCCTCTTTGTGGCAAAAAACGCTGACTGTCTGGGTCTTCCCCTTACCCTCGGTCCTGGGCAGGTGGCTCCTCTGTCTGGGGGAATCCACCTCAGGCATGCAGGGCAGAAAATGGGAGCTCAGCCACCAGCAGCCCTGGCAAACGGCCGAGACAGAGCCCCAGCCCCCCTACAGGCCCACGGCCTCAGCCTCTTGGCCTTCCACAGGCACTCACTATTCCTTGGCGATCTCCAGGTCCTTTCTGTGGCTCTGCAGGGCTGCTACCATCTGCCCAAGCTCAATCTGGGCATTCCCGATGCAGCTGTACAGGTTTCCAACCAGTTCATCCTTGTTGGGCACCTCCTCTTTGTTCCATTCCAGCACCTTCTTCAGCACTTTCTCAGCCTTCTGAAGGCTCCCTTCAGCACTGCCACTGGTCAGCACTGGGAAGGGAAAGAGGGGCTGTGGCGGTAGGAGCAGCGTCCTCATGGCTGACGGGAGAAGCCACCCCCCAGACACCATCCACAGGCCAGTGAAACCAGGGGCTCAGCTACTGGGCTGCTCCCTCTCCACCTGGCAAAGGTCCCACCCTTCTGAGAACAACACCTACACATGTCGATGTCCTCGAGGCTCTTGAGGATGTAACGGGCTGTCTGAGATGGACGGCGTTTGCGGTCCCGCAGCCATTTCTCCTGCATCAGCTTCCGGTCCCGCTCCCTGGCATAGATGGGCTTCTGCTGTCTCCAGAAGTCACTGCGGGTATCCAGGTAGTTAATGCCCGTCATGACGAGGTCCTCCACGGTCAGGCCATGCTTGATGGTGCCTTTGATCAGGTCTGTAGGGAGGGGGGTGAGGAGGAACCAACTAGAACACACGTCTAAGGGAGTCACCTCCTCTTGGCTTGGGGTCCCTGCTGCGGGGGCCCCTATGGGGATCTCTGCCTGGAGTTGCAGAAACAGTGAGGAAAGTGAGAGCATGTGGGTGGCAGGGTGGGTCTCTCTGGGACTAAATGAGGCCAGATCCCCTTTCAGGCACTCCCACGGTGCAAGAGCTTAGTGCACAGGCCCCTTATGGCAAGATATGAGGAGCTGGCAAAAGGGGCGGCTGGAGGAGAGCCCCCAGGCCTCGGGGCTCCCCCATTTCAAGTTCTGTCCTCAGAGAAGACTGAGTCTAGATGCCCAACCTGGCCCAGGTTGCCACCGCCAAGTGATTCCCCAGGTGCCAAGTGGGCTAGTGCACGCTGGGAGGTGGAGTGGCATGACCAAGTCCTGCCCATCGCCCTGACCAGAGGTTAGAGCTGGTAGCAAAGCTGCAAGGCCACCCCTCCCCTCCACAGTTTTTCAGTGTTTATTCAGGCCTGTTACAGAGGAGATGTGCCAGCAGTAAAGCTACCTGTGACCCCGACCTGCAGGGGATCCTGCAGACGCCCTTGGGAAGTCAGTCCTGGAGAAAAGGCATTGGATTCAAGGGTGATCCCTGCTCAGGCTTATCAGCTAAGGGGAATCCTCCCACCCCCGATGTTTATGGGAGACATTCGTTTCAAGGTTTTGTCCTATTCCCTGTCGCTGCTGGCACAGTGGGGTAGAAAGAGCATTGGACTGGAGGTTAGGAGGCCTGGGCTCTGGTGTCAACTCCACCACTAAATTGCTGTCACCTTGGACAAGTTACTCCCCATTCAGGGTCTCTCTTTCCTTTTCTATAAACAAAGGACTGGACCAGACGAGGTTCCGGGACACTCTAGTACTCGTATCCTAAGAGTCCCCTTCTAGCTCCTCCCAGCAGGACTCCTTTGCCCTCTGTACAGACTGAAGGCCCAGGGGACACCCCTCAGGGACCGCATGGGGTGGTAGAGGAGCCCAGACCTCCAGCGTTCCCTTGCAGGGCACCACAGTGCTCAAGAGCACTGGTTCTGAAATTGGACGTCCTGGATTCCAGTCTGAGAGCCATGTCACTGCTTGCCTACATGTGACCTTAGGTGAGTTACTTAACCATTCTGTGCCTCAGTTCCCTCCTCTGTAAAATGAGAATGCTAGTGAAATCTGGCCATGGGAACACGTTGGCAAGTATCATATGATAGGCTCTGCCCCTGGCTCATGCGTTAAGCATTCACCCCAGATTTCCTTTGCCACAGGTTCCCTGTTTCAAAGAAAGTGTCCAAAACCTTCGTCCAGTAGGAGCTTCTCCAGGTACTCCTTGTCCACATAGAGCTCGCCCAGGAGCTGGCGGACAATCTTCTCACTCTTGAGTGAGCCCTTCCGCTTGGACTCTCTCTTGGGGTGATGTAGGAGGTGTCTCGAGGGATGAGGCTTCTGCTCGGCTTTCATACTCTAGGCAGACAGAGCAAGAACCAACAGAGCCTCAACAAGAGGCACGGATTACCCAGTCACAGCCCCAGGGTCTACAATCCCAGGCTCCTCCTCCAGGACCTCTCTGCGGCCGAGGACCATGGTGTCTGGTGCAGGAACAGCTGGACTCCCAAGACCCCTCTTGAGCTGGGGAAGAATCCCATGGCTGTCCGTGATGGGCAGGAGCTAATGGCTCCCAGGCAAGAGGCCGCTCTGACCTGTGCCCTGCAGCCACATGTGGCCTCTTCCCTCAGGGGGATGTGGCGTCAGAACCAGGGCCCTTACCTCAGCTTGCTTGGTTAGGAAGCAAAGGTCCCCTGTGTTCTCTAGCTTAATTGAAGAAGGACCTGTAAGGACAGAAGCTGGGGCTCAGGTCGGCAGGGGCCTCTGGGCACAACCTATCACATATTTTTATGTGGAAATGGCTGCATGTGGAGGTTGTGTCAGAACTGGCTCTGAGTCAGCCAAGCGGGCAAATGGTACAGGGTATTTCACAGAACACTCTTCTAGGAGCTAGGCAGCCCCCACTAGCCCAAGGCCATGGCAGCCAGATTTCCAAACAAACGAAGGCCCTGGGCACCAGGTGAGCTCTCCATTCCATGCTATTTCCACACTCTGCTGCCCAGTGGCAAGCCTTGCTTTCTTCCCTCCGCCTCCTGCCACTAAGCTGATGGGAAGGGCGAGCCCATGGTGCATACATGGTAACGGAGGAAACCAGGGACTGGGGAAGGCTGGGCTCAGGACCCCATTCTACCCTATGACACCAGGCCAGAGACGGGCCTGCGAAACAGCCATTCTCAGGCAGCTTTGAGGAGAAGCACATGCTGTGGTGCTCAGTACAGTGCTTGAGGTACTGGTCCTCCCAGTAGACAGCTCCTAACCCTCAAGAAAATCAAGAGCAGCCAAATGCAAGCATGGGACCCCCTTTAGGCCTGGTGAGGGTTGCCCACCCAATGCACCTCAGGCCTTCCTTCAAATCTAAGGATTCCAAGAGCCTTCCTGGATAAGGGCATAGGCTCCATAGTCACTCACTTCCCACTGAGTTGTTGATGGCTTCCTGGGCTTTCTGAATTCCAACTTTGAATTCCCGATCAGGCCGCAGCTTATAACCTCGATGAAAGAAGACCAAGGCAAACTCAAAGTCTCCCATAGTGTACAGGGTCTCGGCCTTTTGTAAAATCCCCTGGAATGAGAGAGAGTCAAATCGAAGTGGACAGATGAGGCCTTACAGGACTTAGGTGTCGTGGAACAGAAGCGTCCTCGGTTGAGGGTCAAGGTTGGGATACGGGGGCAGGGTGCTAGGCAACTGATCTATAAAAACAAATGACACCAAACTCTACCTAGTCTGGCTGGTTCTCCAACCACTTTCTACCTGAGGCTGCTACAGGCAATGGCAGTGATGAAAGCAAGATTGAGCCCTCCCACCCATAGTCACCTTGCAGAAAGTCGGGTCACCCTGGAGTGAAGCCTCAGCATCCTTCAGGGACTTCTCCAACTCTCCCATCTTCAGGAAGCACTTTGAACGGGCCACCAGGCAATTCTTATCTCCATTCTGAAGGTGAAGAGCCTGAGAGAGGAAGCAGTCAGGTTGACAGGCCCCAAGCAGGGCAGGGTAGAAGCTGGACTGGAAACAGCAGCCCAAACTCTCCTGCCAGAATTTCAAGGGGCCTCAAGCCAGCAAACAGGTCTTCAGATCTTATCAGACCAAAAGCAGCACAACACTGATCTCTGCTCAGTCAACTTGATTATCCATATGCAGCTCTTCTTGAACAAAGTCAAATCACAAGCTACTGTGGAAGCCACTGGCTGAAATGTAAGAATATCACTGGGGCTAGACTGAATTTCCCCCCATGTCTGGGGTTCCTCCAGTCCACTCAGGCAATGGAATCTTAGGATGTTTGGTACACACCAAATTCAGCCACAAACCTGAAAGGGCTGCACAACACGCTCAAAATACAGTTCAAAGGCTAAGCATTCGGAAGGCTGACAAAACGGATTTTAGGAAAACCTACAACGTGAGTTACCCATTCCACTAGCCTTCTCTTTTCACAGAGCTTACTAAGCATGCATCACTATTTCAGGGCATTCAGATGAAAATGCCAGGAGAACAGAAACTGTGATTTTGGCCCTAAAGTGGGAGCAGAAAGCTTCTGCTACTCCCATCCTGTCTTCTTGTGTTTGAGATCATGACTGTAGCCTGTGGGGTACTGCCTGCCTGAGGCATCAGACTGCAGCCCCTTTCTAAGACCTTTCTACCCTTCCCGGAAGAGGAAGTCGGTACTGTCTTTTGTGAAAAAAGGCCATTTCTCACCCAAAGCTATCTTCCGTCGGGGTGTTCTTTTCTCTCTGCCTGAGCTTCTGTAGGATGGAATATGATCCAGAAAGAGGAGAATGGGTGGGGACAGGGCTCCTGAACCCAACTGTTGGCCCATCTGGTTGATCATTTTGGTTTTAGGGTGCGGTTGGTGATCAAAAGGGACGAAAGACTCTAGGCAGCAGTTGAGAAGTTTGACTTTAGGGGGAGCCTTGGCACTGGCTAGAGGGCTAGCCTACCACTCCATCTGAAATAAGAAGTGGGCTATTTCTTGTAAAAGAAATTGTCATAAGAACATCTAATAGCTTACTTGTGAGGGAGGATGGCATGGTGGTGAGCACCTCAGCACTGGAGTCTGAGAGCCTGGGTTTGAATCCTTCCTCTGCCACTTGCTAGTCCAGTGATCTCAGGCATGTTACTCAACTCCTATGTGTTTTCTCATCTATAAAATGGAGTAATAACAGTACCTCTCTCATAGGCTTGTACTGAGCTTAGCAGTGTGATATCGTAAAAAAGCACTCAATCCCCTTAGGGTGGGGTGGAGCAATTTATACTAAAGGTTGTATTATAATGTTATTTACTGATCTTCTGTGAGCAATCACGTGCCAGAGATTTCACCACTTTTACGCGCAGCCTCCTAGCCAATCTCTTGGCCAATGATGGGAAATTGAGGCTGCTCTGTGGAAGGTGGCCAGTCAATCACAAAACTTTTAAGTAAAAAAGCAGAAGAGGTCACTGTTAATGCAGAGAATGGTTATTAACAATCAGGCCGCAAGCGGGAATTGGTGATGAAGCGGGGAATTCACAGAGCGTCAATCAGGAACAAGTGAATAAGAAAAACAAGAGGTCCTCCGGGCATCATCAGGACCTCAGTGTTATCAGGAATCGAAAGCGGAGATGGGTGAGTGAGAGGTTCAGAGAGCGACTCACGTTGCTGAAGCTATGGGCGGCTTTAGAGAACTCCCCGCAGAGATAGAGCCGCTCGCCCTCCGCCATGTAAGAAGGAAAGGTGCTTCGCAAGCCGTCAGTTTCTTGGTCCGACATGGATTCGGAGATGCTGAAGTGGAAAAAAGGAGGAAAAGAAGCCGAAGAACCACCGTCAGGCTTGTGGAAGCCCCGTCTCTTAGCAACCGGGAGACGGAGCGTTACTTCCGGCCCCGCCCCTCGCGCCTGCGAGTCGCCAGCCTGCGCATGCGCCGGAGCAGCCGCGCCCTAGACCGGGGCGTGACGAGTGCGTGGCGGGCGCGGGGCGCTGTAGTGTTGGCTGTTGCACGCCCCCTCGGTTCTCTCTGGGACTGCCTCGTGTCCAGAATTTACAGCCAGGAAAACAGGAAGAGGATTAAGGGCAGAATTCCAAATAGCGATAAGGCATGTCTACCTAAAGAAATCTAGGAGGCAATAATAGAACCAGAAGTGTTTGTTTGGGATCAAAGAATTGCAATTCAGGGCCCACAGATCCTTCAGGTAGCAACCTGAACAGTGTCCCGCTAAGGAGTGAAAATCAGCCTTTTTTAAAAGAGGGGAGGCTTGCTTAAGTCCTTACAAAGAATTTTAATTGGGCCTGGAGGCAGAAAGCTAATCGTGGCTAATTATGATTGATTGCTAAGACTATGGCTAAGCAAAAAGGTATCACTGTAACAAGCTGCAGACTTTCTTGCAGCATACTTGGACTATTTGCGTTTGGCCTAGTTCAGAGGTTCATGGTTCATTCTGTGAGGATATGCATAAGGCTCATTTCCTTAATGGCCTCCCAGCTCCGTTTTAAAACCCATTGACATGAATGACTCCATTTTGTTTCACACTTCACAGGCATAGTGCAAGGAGCTGTGTACCGAATATCGCCATCAGGGGGAGAGAGCACTAGGCTTGGAGTCAGAGTACTTGGGCTGTCTTCACTTCCTGACTGCGTGACCCCTGCACCGCTCACATAAAGGCTCTGAGCCTTAAATTTCCTGCCTGAGAAGTGAACGTGAAGATAATAAAACCTTCAAGGTGTGGGGATTTGCATGAGACTACTTGGAAAATAGTGTTGGGTTCAACCTTCAATTTAACACATTTATTCAGCACTTAGTAGTGGCGGGCCTTGACCAAGGTTTTCCCTGACATCCTTCCACGTTCCCTCACTCTCCTCACCAAAAAGGTGAGCTAGGTTCTAGGTCCCAACAAATACCCCGCCCTTAATACATTACTTTTAGAACTTCAACTCCCAACACCAACAAGACTGTGACCTCCACTAAGGCAGGGACCTTGTCTTAACCTTGTATTTCCAGAATTCAACTATCTAGCACACAGTAGGAGCCAAGTAAATCATTGTTAACGTTTAAATAGTAAAAAGACATCCTTAACTACACACGCATACACACAAATGAGTATATGTAAAACCAGAGATCTGAATGAGAGCAGTGGCTTGTGTCAGTGTCTGTTTTCTGGTTATGTTATTGTACTAAAGTTTTTCAAGATGTTACTGTTGGAGGGAACTGGGTAAAGGGTACATGGGAACTTTTTGTATTATTTCTTACAACTGCATGTGAATCTATAACTATCTCGAAATAAAAAGCTTGATTAAAAAAAGAATACCAAGATGAAAAAGAACCTAGTCCCTTCCGTGGAAGAGTTCCATGTAATCAGGGAGACAGACATATAAGCAATAATGGCTACTCAAAGTGATATTAAGTTATTCCAAGTCTCGTGTGCCTATGAGGGAGATGAGGCCAGAGTGGGGTGAGGCCCAGAAAAATGGAGGATTCAGTCAGGGTCTGGGGTGAATTAGAGACAGCTTCACAGAAGGGGTAACATTTGAGCTGAGGGGGAGTGGGATGGTGCCCGGGAGACCTAAGTGGGGAAGGAGGTGAGCAAAGGCCAGAGGTGTGTAAGTTCACAAGGTGTGTAAGGAGCAGCAGCTCCATGCACTGGAAGGAAACTCATCCTCTTCTGGATTGTTAAGACAGGCACATAGGTGAGTTGAACAATGCTGCTGAAATCACCAGCAGTTAATGGGGAAAAAAACCTCCCACAAAGAAAGCACAAAAAAAACCCATAACCACCTCCTGCAAAGAGGAAATTGATAGATTCAATGCATTCCCAATCAAAATCCCAGCAGACTTTTTTTAGTAATTGACAAGCTGATTCTAAAATTTTTGTGGAAATGCAAAGGACCTAGAATAGCCAAAACAATTTTGAAAAAGAACAAAAGAAACTTCTGTTCTGCTTTCATGACTTTTTTTTTTTTTTTTTGGTGAGGAAGACTGGCCCTGAGCTAACATCTGTTGCCAATCTTCCTCTTTTTGCCTAAGGAAAATTGTCCCTAGGTTAACATCTGCACCAGTCTTCCTCTATTTTGTATATGTGATGCCACCACAGCATGGCTTGATGAGCAGTGTGTAGGTCCGTGCCCGGAATCCAAACCCTCAAACCCTAGGCTACCAAAGCAGAGCATATGAACTTAACCACTGCACCGCGAGGTTGGCCCCTCAAGACTTATTTTAAAGCTACAGTACTGGTATTAGCATAAAGATTGATACATAGATCAATGGAACAGAATAGAGTCCGTAAATAGATCCACACAAATATGATCAATTAATGTTGAACAAAGTTGCCAAGGAAATTCAATGGGGAAAGGATAATCTTTTCAGCACATAGTGCTGGAACAACTGGATGGCCATATGCCAAAACAAAACAGAACAAAACTTGACCCTTAGCTCACACCATATTCAAAAATTAATTCAAAAGACAAATGTAAGAGGAAAATTATAAAAAATAGTGAAAATAATAGGGCACAAAAAGCATGAAAAAGAAAAAACAAATTTGACATCATCAAAATTAAAATCCTAGGGCCGGCCGGGTGGTGCAGTGGTTAAGTTCACATGTTCTGCTTTGGTGGCCCAGGGTTCACTGGTTCAGATCCTGGGTTGAGGACATGGCACCACTTGTCAAGCCATGCTGTGGTAGGCATCCCACATATAAAGTAGAGGAAGATGGGCACGGATGTTAGCTCAGGGCCAGTCTTCCTCAGCAAAAAGAGGAGGATTGGCAGCAGATGTTAGCTCAGGGCTAATCTGCCTAAAAAAAAAAATTAAAATCCTTTGTTCTTCAAAAGACACTGTTAAGAAATTTAAAAGGCAAGCCACAGACTGGGATAAAATATTTAAACATATATCTGACAAAGAACTTGTATTTACAATACATAAAGAACTCTTACAACTCTATAAGACAAATAAATAAAAACTGACCAATCGATTTGAACAGTTACTTCATCAAAGAAGATATACAGATGGCTAATTAGCACATGAAAAGATGCTCAACATCATTAGTCAGTAGGAAAACACAAATTAAAAAGCACGGTGAGACACCACTACTCACCCACTTAGAATGGTTAAAAGAAAAAAGACTGACCTTACCAGGTGTTGGCAAGGATGTTGAGCAACTGGACGTGAGCAACTGTGCTGCTGGTAGGAATGTGAAATGGTGAAATGGTCGGAAAACAGTTTGGCAGCTTCTTAACAAGTTAAACATATGCTTACCTTATGACCCTGCCCTTCCACTCCTAGGAATTTACTCAAGAGAAACCAAAGCTGTACACGAACATTCATAGCAGCTTTATTTCTAATAGCCCCAAACTGGAAACATATCCGTTGACTGGTAACTGGATAAATAAATTGTAGTTTATCCATATAATAACTACTCAGCAACAAAAAGGAAAGAACTAGTGATGTACACATAATATGGATAAATCTCAGAATAATTACACTGAGTGAAAGAAGTCAGACGAAAAAGACTATATGCTTCCATTTATATAAAATTCTAGAAAATGCAAACTTAATCTGTATAGCCCCCAAAGCAAAACAATGCCTCTTGGGAACATGGAGGTAGGATGGGCCGCTAGGGTGAAGGATATGTTCCTTATCTCGATTGTGGTAATGTTTTCACAGTGTGAAAACATATTGAAACTCATCAAATGGTACGCTTTTGATATATATAGTTTATTGTATGTCAATTATATATCAATAAAGCTGTTAAAAGAAACAATAAAATAGCAATAATATTGTGTGCTTTGGTTTACAAAGTTTGCAAAGCACCTTGTGATCTTCACAGCACCCAAGTAAGGGAGGGAGCCAGGCAGTATTTTCCTGGTTTCACAGATGAAACACTTAGGCTGAGAGAGGTAACAGGATTTACCCCGAGCCACAGCACCAGGATGTAGGTGAGTTGGGCTGGGATCCATGCCTTGGATTAGATTGGTAGGGTAAAAAGCACGGGAATTTATCCCAACCTGTCCCAGCCATTTACTAGCTGGGCTCCTCATGTTACCTCTTTGTATCTTCTTTTATTGTGAAATAGAACATAGGTACAGAAACATACATAAAACATACATGTACAGTTTAATAAATAATTATAAGATGAACACCCATGTAATCACGACACAGGTAAGTCAAGAAACATATTGCCAACAGGCGGCTCTCTCTACGTCCCCTCCCCTCCACGACCCCATCCCTGCACCGCCACCCCTCCCCAGGTAACCACCATCTTTCTGATTGCCACCCTGGTGTAAGCCCCTATCATCTCTCTTGGATTATTGCAGTATCCTTCTAACTAGGTCTCTGTAATCTACCCTCACCTCCTGCCCCTTCCTTCTCAACACAGCAGTCAGAACATCCCAACACAGCAAGTCAGATCATGTCACTCTGTTCAAGACCCTGCAATAGTCCCCCATTTCACTCAGAATGAAAGCTACCCTCCTCATCACTCCCTGTGCTCCAGCCACCTGGCCTCCTTACTGACTTTGAACAGGAAAATGCCGGACATGCCCCTTGCTTAGGGCCTTTGCTCTGGCTGTTCTCTCAGCCCCAGATGGCCTGAATTGGCCTGGAATGCTCCCTCCCAGCCACTTAACTGACTCTCTCCCCTCCTTCAGGTATTTGCTCAAATCTGTCCTTTGCGTTGAGGCTTACACTGACCACCCTATTTAGTACTGCAACCTATTTGCCCTCCCAATCCCATTCGGGAATCCCGACCCCCTACTCTGTTTTCTTTTTTCCACAGCACCACTTTCTGATATACTATATAACTTCTGTCTTTATTTTATAGATTGCGTGTTGCTGTTTCCCCTGATAAGATGTGGGCTAACAAGGGTGAGCATCTTTGCTT